AGCAAGAGAAAAGTCTAAATTTTACAATACATCTGTAAGGCCTTTTTGGAGATTACCTATGTCTAAGATTAACCAACCACGCGAGATGTTGTGTTGTTCAGAACGAGGAATTGGACAGTATTTCCCATAATGTTGCTCACCGCCTGATCCGAAGTATATAGCGCAAATGCAGAGACTGTTAATTCCAAGGATGGAAGATACTCGTTGCTAATTATCCATTTTGTTAAACGTTAATCTTTCAGACCAGTTGAATCACTTAGTCATTACCTCCAATTACTTTGAATTTGATAGTGTTCATGTTCCGTGTGTTATAACTTGCAATAAACTAACTATGAAACTACTTCGTTGACAATATTCTGCGAATAAATAGAGCTCCTAAAATATATTATTCATTTTTATCTTTATTATCATTTCCTTGAAGAGAATTTAACTACAAGGCATTGCCCTTGAATCTGTGTATCAGTTTGTACATCTCAATCAGAATATCGTCAACAAACAATCATTAATGAAATTTTAGCAACTGATAAATCTGAGGAATAATTCGAAATTTTATAGTTTAATGTCACTGGATCTTCTTTAAAACTTAACTAACGTGCCCTACAAATCTCTATAAGGTTCAAACCATTGAATTATGGACATTGATAAGAAATATAACATTTCCGAATAGCATATATATGAGGCACATTTACATGTCTTAAAGCTTTGAAATGACAATTACTTTATATTGTTACGACAGCGGAGGTCACGTGACTCTAGTAACACGTCATATTCTCGAACGTTCACGTCCCTTCCTGAAATCTCGAGAGCCTACTAGATATGCGGTAGTCTTGTATATATATAAATCGGTAAGAACTGACGGCAAGGAGGTAATGAATTGTTGACAGTTGAGTCGAGCACGTGAGACGTTCGTTGTGAATTATAGCGTTTGTTATAGCGCGACTGTGAAAGTATATTGCAAAGTTCTATTCAGAAAGAATAAACCAGTTTTATTTAAGAAAGGACTTGTATCGGTAAAGTTTCTTCGGAAAGAAATTATACGAAAAATTAACTAACGACAGGAGGCGTAACAATATACTTGTATGGCAGATTTGAAAAGAGGCGAAAAACCGTAAATTGGCCTATTTATTTGTTTGTAAATAAGCACAAAGCTACACTATGGGCTATCTGTGCTCTGCCCACCACGGGTATCGAAACGCGGATTCTAGCGTTGTAAGTCCTCAGACATACCGCTGTGCCACTGAGGGGCCATAAATTGGAATTTAATAGAATCCCTTCTTGGCCAATTCGTTTACCTCTATATCATCGCTGTTAAGTATAATCTTGATATATATATAATTAATATGAAACATTATTGTGTTACATTATTATTCTACAGTTATTAACATATTTGCTCTCGTAATAATACTATCTTTATACTCTTCTTTTCGGCAAATATTACGAGATTATAAAACGGCCAATGAATGTTTACAGTGCAACTAAATTTTCTTTTCTTTTTTATAGTGATAACTCAAAAAATGTTTGTATTTGAGTTCTCAGCTGAAAATGTAAAGCAAGAAACGTTTAGTGAGATCTCTTAACATAAAACATAGCTTAATAGAACGCTATTCAATGACATTATGAAGCGACGATTTAATTCTATTTCGTTACTTCTACCATATATTTCTTTTCATGATATGAGGTTCACAAACTTGCTTCCAATTGAACAGGAGGTGAAAATATAGAACACTGAAAAAAAATAACCCATACAATTAAACGTACCTTATACGTTTTCATTTGTTTATTAATAGTTAAGCACAAAGCTATACAATGGACTATATGTGCTCTGCCCACCACGGGTATCGAAACCGGTTTCTAAAATTGTAAGTCCGCAGACATACCGCTGTTCCACTTGGGGCATACGTTTTCATGGTATGATATTTATAAGTGTGCCTTTAGTTGAGTAAGAGGCTAAAGAAATGGAACATTGATAAAAATCAATCCACGCAATTCAATTTCCATTACTTACTTCGAAAACTCATTTCTTTTCTGATTTTTTGGTGATCAGTCCCTGCTTAATAAGTAAGAAATAATTCCTCAAAATATTTATTTTTCCAAAGTAATATAATGTTTTTCAAATGCTGCTTTTTATTTTTACTTTTTTATACAAAGCAGGGATAAACACCTTATTTTATAAGATGTTTAGATCATAAGAACAAAATGGCACCCTAGAATGATCAGCCAAGTAAGTATATATGTCACGTACTCCACATCCACAACCAATAAACGTTGTATATTGCTTGTAAATGCTATTTTCAAATATATATTTCTCGATCAAAACAAAAATAAATGTTTGAATTCGTTTTAGACCATTATACTAAGTAACATGAGTCTATCCTCTCCTGCCCTTCTACCTGCAGTACAAATTATTGCAAGTGACCTGCTAAAACTTGTAGTGTAGATATCAATACACGGGGAGTCAAATAAATATTTTATGAGCATTATGTAATAAATTCCAGTTGGAGGAGCAGTGTGGCTCAGTGGCTTCGCACTTTGAACTTATAGTCGGATGGTTAGAAGTTCAAGGCAAGCTTGCGCCATACTATTGTATCTTTGAACAAGACAATTTACTCCACTTGTTATAGTCTATCCAGCTGTAGGATGGGTACCTAGCTGTTAATTAGGAGTTAAACTTAGATGAACTGGCATTTCACCCAAGAGGGTGGGTCACCATTCTCATCCACTTGTGCCATTGGACCTGGAGTTCGAAATCACGGGCCTTATGTGCCTGTAAAGGCCTATCAAGAACTTACCTTCTTAACTGACAAATTGTAAGATATCTTATGAGATTCTAATGCCATCCCAATATCACATCAAAAATCGCACTCATTGTATTTATTTCACTGAATACTTTAGGCCAGTTTAGGGGTTTTTCTTGTTCAATCGCAACCCACGCAGAATAAATGCACAATTGTTTTAACCCACATTATGCGGGGTGCAAAGTCTTTAAAATCAAATCTATTTGTAGTTTATTATTATTTTTAGTTCCAAATACTTTTTAAACAATTGAAATTATTTACTGCATCGAGATGTAATATTGAAGACGACGTTAAAACAGTGATGTTTCTGAACTTAGGCAGAATTTGATACTTGATATTTTCAGTCATTTGAAAGGCACCTTATACGACAAGTGGGTTAAATAGTTAAATTTAGATACCCTAATGCTCAGACGTAGTCTAGAACTGTTGACCAGAGGAAAGGCAAACAACTAGCACCCAATGCCTACACGACTACTCTTAGCTGAATAGCAGTATTGACTGTCATTTTTATGTACCCATAGCCGAAAATGGGGACCGTGTTACCTTATGGCAGACGTGAATCTCTGATTTCCGATAAGCAGTTCAGCTAACTATCTATTAGGTCACGCCCAGCCAGGCAACATTTGATCTAGTCGCGTTAACTTGGAGGAGAACTTTCATATTTTAGATTATGAATAGTTGCAAAGAGAAACCACTTAGCTGAACGAAAGTGTGTTCGATTAGAAATAGTTTTATGTTTTACTTATTGGAAAAGTAAAACTAAAACAAGGAACTCATTGTTATATTTTTATTTCAGCTAAACTGTTTGCAACTGTGAATTAACGTTTGAAATATACCTGAAAATCGTTAAGTATATGGGAATCTAACAATGTTACTGGTACTTGTAACATCCAGTGATTGGCAGTATAGCCAATGTATGTATTTATTGATTATAACTAACGTGTAACATAATTTTCTGCTGGTACGTGATAAGAATTGATATCCTTAGAGATTTTTATATGTAAGACAAATGACAGCTTGTATTGAAACTGGTTTGAGTATTTTGTGATAACATTTTACATCTAAAACATTCAAACATTAGTTCGTTTTGTAATTATGTTTTGAATGTCCGGCAATAGTCCAAGCAAGTAATAAATTTGTTTCTGGAATTTGTTATATATATATGTATGTATATATATCTTTAAGTTGAATTCATATGGTTTTTAAATTTAGAATTTTTAATAAATTAAAAATTTTCTTATTTCTTCGACTATCGTTATAATAACTCTGAAACTCATAACAAATAGCCAGGTGATGATGGAATAATTCCTAACAAATGTTGGTACGTAAACGTTATTTAGAGAATATTGCCGATAAACATCAGGATATGTCTTCCCTGTGAATTATTTCAGTTTAACTGAAAAATGAATGATTACATCTCAAATCAATAGGCTCGAAATTTGTAATAGAAAATCCATAAACTATAGGTTTTTCCTCCACATTCCTTTTAATTTATGCACTTTTGACATCATATTGTCTTAAAATATACTTAAGAAAGATGATCAACTGATCTTCATCTGCAGTCATCAGGACAATTGGCAAAGTTTTGGTAATTTTAAGTGAATCATTATTATTTACAGGAGTTTTATTTGTTGGTATATGACAAAACTGTTAATGACGTTTATGCCATTCTGTCTTTGAATGTAGAATGTTTTTGCAAAAACGTTTTCATAAATATCATTTTTAGTTATAATGTGTATTTTATTAGTTATATATATACCCGATAACCACATCAATGTGACTACTAAATGATCCAAGCCTCGTTCTAGAAGTAACATATAAATTATATTGTTTCGATGTATTTTCCCAGCAGGAAATTTAAAAAAAAAGTGAAAAATATTTCCCACTGTGTCACGGTCATTTGCTAGTCTATTCTAAAAATTCTATTTTTTAATCAAAAATGTATATTCTAGTTACATAAGATTTTCTCGATAGATAATTGTTTTGGTTTGCTCTCCAAAGAATAAAAGTACATTAATGTCCACTACATGTACCATTTATATTTTCATCATCACATCATATCGGTAAAAGGAGTTTGCGCATCTTTGAAAAAGAAACATGATATTATTTTCTTCGGAGTTCATAAGCAGAACGGCATTGGTTTCTCAGTTTTAAAAGCACAAGCCAAGTATTCTAATGATGAAGATATTTCTTTGATTTTTTGTTTTAATCGTCTTCATCATGCATTTGCTGGAAAGTTTCAATACCACAAGTAAGATCAGAATTTAACAATTCCAACTGAATCATAGGAATGTTACGGTTTGATGTCATATGTTGATCTTCATTGCTGATGAGTGGAGATGAATACTCAGTGTCAAGTTCAGAGGCAGCCAAAGCCAACTTTACTACGTCCGTTTCTTGGGTTGTTCCATTATGGTCTTCATCTACGCATTGTATACGGTTGGATTCTGGTGTGAAACTTGTATACCAGTCGGTGGTGGGCACTGAAATGTTTGGGAAAGTCAATGATCCCATGTTGGAGAAACAGATATTGGTGGTGATATCAGGATACGAAACTTCCCTGGAGTCTAATTGTTGTTGAACAATTGGTTTAAATTCTAGATTTTCAGTGGAACTAACTGAAATAAGAATAAGAAGTTAATTAGCTTCATCAGTTTCTTCGTCAATAGAATAAAAGAAATCCCTATACTGAGTATACAGATTAAAAATATATATGTAAAGATTAATTGTAATAGCTCAGAGAAATTTGTATATTGTAACAAAAGTATAGAATTATGAGACAAAGAGCTGTGTGTTTTGTTTCTTACACTCTCAAACTTAACAATTAAACTTTGGAAATAGCAAGATATGTTGGTTGTAGATGGAAAAGTTAAGACTAAGATATGAAAAAACAATAAATTATTTTATAGATTTTTTAAGTTAGAGCAGTTTACCAACTTGAAATGCTAGAAACTGTTGAGTTAGTAAAAGCATTACCTCTACGAAACTATTACAGTGACATTAATGCAGTAACGTTTATACAACTGTATATAATCAACCATATGTAAAACTTTCAGCAAGAGACTGGATTCAAGTAACAAACATCGAAGAATATAAGCAAGATAAGGTGTTAAAATATATGTAACGACTCAGATGTAGCACGTAAGTCGTTTGGAACATCTAAATACCAGCTATAAAATCTGACAAATATGTTGATTATAACTTAGAAAAGGATTGTTTTGAGACAGATGTATATCTTATACACTACTTCTCAAACTTACGCGAGTATAAAGTCTTAAGTGTGAGGTACAGAAAATAAGTATCCAAACGAGTGAATGAATGTGAGAGAAAGTCTAAAATAATGAATCATTACTTCATTTTCAACGTTAATCTCTTAAAATCTTATTGAAATAACTGATAGCAAGGGCTGGGTTTGGCCTAACAGTTAGAGTGACGGTTTTCAGATTAACTTTTAACAGTAGATGTGTTATGAAATTGATCCTGTTGTATGGTTTCAAAAATCGAGTAAGACCCTTGTGTAGTACTATTCACTGGCTACCTTCCTTTCTGCACACAGCCTTCCCTAATTTTGAACTGATATATTAGAGGGCAGCCAGTTAATCATCAGCACCCACCACCAATATTTGAATTACTATTATCTGACCTTATAGTGACATTTGACCATCACTCTTATAGTGCACCTATGACCGCAAGTTTTTGAGGCTACGGAATATAGACCATGAATCCTCTGATTCACAGTCCGAGCACGTTAACCATTAAATGTTGTTAGGTCCTTCTCTGGGCGATAGTTCAAAATAATGGACGATTATGATTGAGCTCTAGGGATCTTTAAACTAGTCGATTAGCCCACGTGTCGGATAGGGTGTCATTCAGGTTGAAAATTTCAATGTATTAGTGGAATCTCTTTCACAATGCTTGCAAAGTTGAAAAAAAATGAATTATTTACACTTGGTTTCACAGGATTCAGGAAGTCAATAAAAATTTCAAAGTTGCAACACCCATTCACGGATAGATGAACTAATAAACAACAAAAGAATATTGGAGTGTGTGTGTGTGAATTTTTACTTAAAAAGAAAAATCAATACAGATAATAAGAGCTTTAAGCTAGAATTAAATTTCAAGAATTTGAGAATATAGAGCATAAAGAAGTTATATTTCCAATTGATTTATTTTGAATTACAAGTACTTAGAGACCAATTAAAAGTAGAAATGAAAAAGTATCAGTTGAAGAGATTAGCAACAACTAATACTGTTAACAACATTAAGTATAATTGACTGACTGTAAGAACCTAATTGATAACTTCCACAATACTTAAGGTAATTGTCATACTTCAAATGTTTGGAATATATATATACATAGGTTTTTCCTGAAAGATTAACGATCGTCACATTTCAATTTTAGTAACCTGTTCAGCTCTTAGATACGTTTAACTATATTTTCCCATAAGCTTTAAGCTATTTTACATTTTGATGTTACTAGTAATGATTTGTTAGTAATTAGAAAATCATTTACACCTCAGTAATCAAATTAAGCTATAAAACGTTCTATGCTTAGTTAGAATTTACTACATCTTGTAGTTATTTGGATACAGATAAATAGAAAGAAAGAGAGAGAGAGATCTAGACTATGTGATTGTGAGTTTAGCCATAAAGAACGTATCGTGGCAGTTTTAATATGAAATTATCACATATTATATTGTAATAACAGAGTAGAGCAGAATAATTCGTCTTGTTAATTGTGTTCTAAAGTAATTAAACAAGCCTGTGTGGACTTTGACGGAAAGGAGACAATTACTTAAAGCTCTGGAAAGAACTGTGATAACCAATAGAGTAATGAACATTTGTATATACATTTGACTTGTTTTAATATATTATTTTAAAACAACTGGACTGTATGCTGTTTGTTTATTGTTGAAAGTTATCGCCAACAAGTCACAAACACTTACTGTAAATAATCCGTCCCATACATGAAAAACCTGACAGACTGAATATCCATGATATGCAATTATTTTTACATTTATCTCTTTATCGAAACCCTCTGATTTGTGTTTAGAATTGAATTTGTTACATTTATCAAAAAAGTATCATTCATAAATTAGTTCAAGCTTACTTGAATAACAATGTTATGTAAAAGTTGTATAAATGAAAATAAGATTATAATATAAATGTATAGCAATTGTGAGTTGTTTAACATAATGACAAATTAAGGAAGTGGATACATCAGAATTTGTAAGTTGCAATTATTATGATGAATGAAACGTCTTTCATGATGAGAGGTCTCTATCCGTTGTAAAAAGTGTTAATTGAAAGTCTGAATGCCAAGAAAAGGGTATATTTTAAATTTTTTCGGATGTTAAAGAAATGGTAATATTATGTGTTGCTTACCGTTTTTTTAGAAAATGCAGAATAAGGTTTAACGGTGAAGATAACCTGGAATACAGCTGTAACTATATTTGCGTCAGTGATGACGTAATGAGTCATATTCCTAAGATAAATGCTTTTAGTGATCGAATTGGACAAGTTTAATACATGTTCAACCAAAAACATTTGTTCATAATGTGTAGCTAAGAATAATGATCATGAGAAACACATAAGTTCGTTGGAACACATCACGATGAATGACACAGTTTCTTAGGCTAACCATTAGGTGTTGTTTTATTTATACAGAACTACATAGTTAGCTATCAGCACTCTATCCACTTCATGGTAATCGAACCCTGAATTTTAGCGTTGTATGCTCGTAAACTTGCTGCTGTCCCACCTAGAGATAAACCATTGCTAAATCACATGTAATCCATGCATAGCTGAAATGCTATTTAACATAAATACATGATACCCTATTGTCCTTTTTAACCTACATGTTTTTCTAACATCATGAAATGTTATTTAGTAGCCCATGTGTGTCAAATAAGCACATACTACTCATGATTAAATCCAACATGTTCACATACTAATAATTGCTATCTACATTTTCTCTGCTTATTTGATTTGTTCCCTTTAGAGAGAATTGTTTACTGATCTGTGATTACTTAAAAACTTAAAAATATGTGATACACAAAGTCATTGATTAAGAGGGTGATGTGTTTTATTGTGTGTTTGAAATCCTTAGCATGAGAGATAAAATAATCCCAAAACTTTCTGATGTATGTAAAGAAAGTAAAAATCTTTTGAATGCAAATGTAAGTTCGGTTGCTGCGGTTCTTTAATTTAATTAGTAATATTTTCCCAAAGTAATTCTCCATTCATCTGACAATCCACTAGACACAAAATATAGAATACGGCATTACCATGACTGAAAAATATATTTTATTGTTTGAGTGTCTACAAATGAGTATTAATGTTTATTAACACCTCATGAGTACAAACCAAAAGCAAACAAGTAGCTTGAACTTTTTAAAGTGAAATAACATATAAAATCTTTAGATATACGTGAATGTTATGCTAATCAGACATATATGGGTCGAGAAAAGCTTGAAACGATACCTGACATGGTAAAGGAGGTGCATAAGGTGGATAAGATTTTTTACATATACACATAATATTGGTATAATAAATTAATTGTTTTAAGCTCCCAGAGTCAGGTCACCCGGTGGGACAGCAGTAAGTCTTTGCATTTATAACACTAAAATCACGGGTTCGATTCCCCTCGGTGGACACAGCAGATAGCCTGTTGTGGCTTTGCTATAACAAAACACACACAAACCCAGAGTCAGTATCAAAGTGTCATACTGATATGAGCAGTAACCACTCTAAAAACCGTCTGGCATAATAAGTATTGCATATTTGATCTGAATTTTTTACCTGACTGAGTTGAAGAAAAAAAAGACTAAACACGAAGCAAAAGAGTGTGTAAAACACACATTTATTTGTTTGTAACACAAGACGAATGTGTGATAATTAGCATAATTATATAAGTGGTAAGGAAAAATGATACAACAGGCAAATACCACGGATGTACCATCTCTTTATCACGTGCAAATGAACTGCACCAGAGTACATTAAAGTGCTTATAATTTACTCTGTAATTATGTGTCATCCATCCAAGCAGTAAGTGCCGCACCAATATAAAGCATATAAAAATACAGGTAGTTATAATATGCTCAATAGTGGTAACGAGTTTCTCATAATTATGACAGTTGGAAATTTCCCAATTCTGGATACAAGGTGAGACTTTATTTCACAGGTTTGTAGCAGTTAGAGGTGTAAAATTGTTAGGGTCATACCAAGAGTACTGCAAGCAGTGCACCCACACAGAGCGCCATCTCGTGGGTGGCACGAGTTTGCATCTTTGAGGGCAAGGATATATTAGGGCTTTTTGAAGAGGAGTGCATAACTTACATCTCGCACAAGGCACCATCAACGATCGTTATAGGCTTGAATATGGTATTTAGTAGGTATTATGATAAAACCTATAGGATACGACATTAAAAATATGATGTTTTCTGATTCAATTATTAATGAGGTGTGACAGTGGTCTTAATTTCCAAACACCTTGAATTGTGTAGCTATATTCTTCACTTCTACTTTTACCATTGTATATTATTATTATCATACAATATTTCTGTGACTTTTTTAAATTGATCTCATATTTTCCAGGAAAATACTTTAAGACACAGAA